TATAATCATTAAGATTCTTAACGATCATAATTAGCAATTTCTAAAATATAATTGTTAAGATTCTTAACGATCATAATTCTATAATTACTGAATTATGATCGTTAAGATTCTTAACGATCATAATTCTATAATTGCTGAATTATGATTGTTAAGATTCTTAACAATTATAATTTAGAAATAGCTGAATTATAATCGTTAAGAATCTTAACGATCATAATTCTGCAATTACTGAATTATGATCATTAAGAATCTTAAACGATCATAATTCTATAATTGCAAAATTATGATCATTGAGAATCTTAACGATCATAATTAGCAATTTCTGAAATATGATTGTTAAGATTCTTAACGGTTATAATTCTATAATTTCTGAATTATGATCATTAAGATTCTTAATGATCATAATTTTGCAATTATAGAATTATGATCGTTAAGAATCTTAACGATCATAATTCAGCAATTGCAGAATTATAATCGTTAAGAATCTTAACGATCATAATTTTATAATTGCTAAATTATGATCATTAAGATTCTTAACGATCATAATTCAGAAATTGCAGAATTATGATCGTTAAGATTCTTAATGATCATAATTCAGCTATTTCTAAATTATAATCATTAAGAATCTTAACGATCATAATTTAGCAATTATAGAATTATGAACGTTAAGAATCTTAACGATCATAATTCAGCAATTATAGAATTATGATATTTCAGAAATTGCTAAGATTCTTAACGATCATAATTTAGAAATAGCTAAATTATGATCGTTAAGAATCTTAACGATTATAATTCAGCAATTATAGAATTATGATTGTTAAGAACCTTAACGATCATAATTTTGCAATTATAGAATTATGATTGTTAAGAATCTTAACGATCATAATTCTGCAATTGCTAAAATATAATCGTTAAGATTCTTAATGATTAATTTAAACAAGAATTTTAACAATTAATTTAGCAATTTCTGAAATAAGATTCTTAATAATTAATTTGGCAATTTTTAAATTGCTAAATTAATTGTTAAGAATCTTATTTCAGAAATTGCTAAATTAATCGTTAAGATTCTTAATGATCATAATTCTGCAATTATAGAATTATAATTGTTAAGATTCTTAATGATCATAATTTAGCAATTGCTGAATTAATTGTTAAGAATCTTAATGATCTTAGAAAAAAAATCCTAGCAAAGATCCCATATGACAAATTTGCAAATAATAATAAATAAATATAAATTTATATTTACTGTGGTGTTTTTAAATAAGTTTTTAATAATGGCAAAGAATATAGTAAAGTCCAGTTAGACCACTCTTCTGCCTTGAATCCACTAGAATAACGAGTAATATTATTTGGAGGTCTGCCAAATTCTGATGGCATTCTTTTTTCTTTTCCATTGTTTTTTAAAATTTGACCAATTTGATTCCATGTAGTTTTTGCAATTATGTGTTGTTCAGTATTTGTATTGTTTAAAGTTTCATTTTTAAAAAATTTTCCACTCCAGTGTTTATACATCCATGGTGTTACACCTTCAAATAAAAGATGCATAATATCAATAGGAAATGAGCGTGGAAATTTTGTTGCTTTTAATTCAAATAAAATACTTCTTCCACAAATTCCTAAAAAATTTAATAAATAAATTTAAATATTAATTTTATTGCTTTAACTAAAAAAAAATAAATATACCTGTTTCTTGTGAAAATTTCTTTTTAGCTTTATCAGTTGATAATTTTTGCCATTCTTGACTTAATTTATCATACTTATTATGATTACGAAGTGGAAGGTCTCGTATATTATATTTTGGAAATTTGGAATAACTACGAGGAGGTTTTAAAGGATAATAAATATGATTATTTGTTAAATCTCGTACACCTTTTAAATCACACATTCGACATCCCATATATGAATTATGCCCAGTAATACACATAAGTTTTGTTATAGCTGGTATATCTCCACACCAGAATATTACATGTGATTTTAATTTAAACTCCTGTTTACTATCACCATCAAAACATAAAATGCCTTCTAAAATAACAATTAAATTTATAAATATTAATATATTTAAACCAAATTTTACTTTAAATCAAATAAAATAAATACCTTCTAATAATTTTAATTCATTAATTACAGGACGTAAAAAACTATTAAAATCTTTAGGCTGATTTGGTCCTGGAATCACTGCTGTTACTAATAAATTTTGTTTTTTTACACGTATTTCTGGCGATAAATTATTATTTATCATCATTAAAACCCAACAATCTTCTCTTTTTTGTTTAAATAACTGAAATCCATCACAAGCAGCTGTTAATAATATATCCCTTTTATCAGATAACAAACCCTCTTCAATTAATTCTTTATATAATTTCCCATCATAAATATCACCAATTTTTTGTGAATTTGAAATATAATTTGCACGATATTTAAGCTCTTTAGCTCTTATTGGATCTGCATATTGCATTTTCAAACGAGGAATTAAAGGAAAATAAAAAGCAGATTTTCGTGATTTTCCTAAACTATCATATCGATTCTCACCACAAATTGCACATGCAGTTTTTTTAACCATATTATCGACAAAAGCATGACAAGAATTAATACAAATATCAATGCAAATATATTTTAAATTAACCAAACTTGATAATTTTTTTTTAGCTAAGTATAAACTAATATTAGAACAATTAAAAATTTTTAAAACTTTAGTATAAATCTCATTTGAAACTGAGGCATTTTGAACTTTTAAATGAAGAAATTGAAGAGCTTTAATCATATTAGGCTCTAAATAATATGAATCTAAAAAATAAAAATTAGTTAATTAATATAAACTCTAAAATAAATAAGTGTTGCATATAATCTATAAGAAATTTTTATTAAACTAAATTTAATTTTCAAAAAATTGTGATAGTAGGTGAGTATTTTAATAAAATGTTATTTGCTGCAAATTATATTAATATAAAAGATAGTATCTAATGAAAATTATATCTATCACAATACTTTAATAATTAAATTTAGTATAATAAAATTTTTTAAATGATTTGATTACTTAAAAATTTCTAACCTTCATTGGTTTCTAAAAGTATATCATTTGAGTATTCTTCTATTTCAAAGTTTTGATACAAATCATCAATATTATCTTGACTATTAAATGAATTTTCTGAATTATTATCTTGACTATTAAATGAATTTTCTGAATTATTATCATTGGTATAAATTGATGAATTTTGACTTAAATTTGGACTTAATTGTATTGTCTCATTAAAGTCACTAGATTCTCTTAAATAAATATTAGTTAGTTAGTATAGTTAAAATTAGTTAAAATTAGGCAATATATTAATTATATATATAAATTTAATTACATATATTGATAATTATAATTTTCTTCTTCATCAAATTCATTTTCTTCAATATTCATTAAATTTAAATTGCTATTATAATCTTTTTCTTCATTAAATTCATTTTCTTTAATATTTGTTAAATTTAAATTGCCATTATTAATTTTATTTAAAATTTTAATAATTATTTAATATTACAAAAATTACAAAAATTAAATCTGTTATAATTTAAAAATATACCTTTTTTTTTTTTTTTTAAATGACGTGTATTAAAATTAACATAGCTATCATCAATTTGTTCTTCAAGTTGTTGAACCCATAAAAATGCTCGTTGATGATTTAAGGCTGTTTTTTTAGTTATAGAAACTCCAAGAGGATTTTTCTGAAGACATCGAGGACAAATACATATAGTAGTTTCATTATCCATTTTCGAAATTATTATAATACTATGTGTATTTATAAAGTAAATTAATTATTTAATTTCTTTTTATATATAAAATACTAGGTAATTCTTATAATAAGAAAAGGCAGAAGACAAAAAAATTGTAAGCGCTAAATAACCTTTTTTTAAAATATCAAATAATCCACACAAGTTTTTGCAATAGAATTTTTACTATAACTCATGATAAAAATGATAATTAAAATCACAATATCGTAAAATGCCATGTGAGGTATCCGTATGACAAATAATATAGATTAATTTTTGAAATATTATTTATACATTATTTATACATCAAGTTATGTACATAGGTTAAATCAATGAATATCGGGTGCATACCAAGAGAAAAGTTTCCCAATATATACCTGCCATAGATTCGACAAATACTTGCTGAATATTAGCAGCACATTGGCAGCATATTTGTAAGATATTAGGAGATAGGTTGACATCAGTAATTTAACAGTACAATATTGGAATCCTGATATCTTACTTTTAGCATTCTGGGCCTAGAAGTAAGATATCAGGGTATCTCAATATATTGCTATTATTTTGCTGATATCGATTTACCACCCAAGATTTTACCAATATAATGCTGATATTCAACAGGTATTTGGCGGATATATGGCAAACCAACATGTACATATCAGGAACTTTTCTTCCGGTATGCACCTGATATTTATTGATTCAACCTGTGGTATAATGCATATGATTTAAAATTTTTTTAATTATAGAAAATTGTATCACACCAAGTAATTCTAATACAGCTAACTCATTCTTCGCCATTTACTATGTATATACATAGTCGTTAATAGAAATTAAACAGATCTACATTTGAAAAAAAATTAATGTCTTAATTTTTATAGCTCATATCTCGATGAATTTTAAAACTATCTTGATAATTTAATATTCAAAAGAAAGCTTATTATCTAAGCTTACTTTTGAATATTAAATTATCAAGATAACTTTAAAATTTATTAAGATATGAGCAATTAAAGTTAAAATATTAATTTTTTCAAATATAGATGTGCTTGATTTCTATTGACGCCAGCTCATATGTATCACTAGAATAGCAAGTAGGCGTATAGTATGATAGTTCTAATTTCAAACTAACTCAATAAAAATTTGTTTTTTTAATATGATTATATAATATTACTAATTTGGAGCATAGCAGAGGATCCTGCATTAAGTAATATAAAAAATTACGCAAACTTTATTTATTAAGTAGAAGATTTTATAATTAATATAACAGGTAATAAGTATCACATGAGTTTTTTTTGGGTATATACCAATTATAAAAATTCTATTAACATAATAAGTAATGATTCTGCATATCAGTTGTTATTTCACTTTATATGTTCGTATAATAGGGTTTTATGACTTATAATCACTACTTTAATTATTTTTCTAGAATCTCCCTAGAATTTTTGTTATTTCCCTGGGTGCACTTTAAATTCTTACAAAATATTATTTATAATACTAGTTTTTAAAATTCTTATATATCAAATAAGATATAGCAGTACTACTTTGTTCACTAACTGAATAAAAATCATTGCTAGTTTTAAAATTTATTTGAACAGTATAGAACGTGAATACATCAATGAACTATCACGCAAGTAACGTGCAATTACACAATAACAGTTATAGATGCATTTTGGTAAATATAGTTGCTTATTCTTGCGCCGCAAGCCTAGAAAAAACTGGATTAATTCATACTTAACTGTTTTGTATTAGTAATTGTAGAAATATCATAATCCAAATTAATTGAAGATCGAAACTTGAATTCAGATTTTAGTATTTTTTATAGTACTTTTGACGGCATCATATTTAACCATTTCTCTAATAGTGTTTTTGGTCACAACTTTAAATTGATCATCCAATTTGTTATTAGACAGGTTTTCTGCAGGGTTATCATATGAAGCAACAGGTTCTGTATGATATTACCGCTGCTATTAATTAATCTAGAAGCCTTTGAAAACAAGTCTTATTTATTAAGTATATTATAAAAAAAACAAATATGTGTAATATATATATATAAATAAATACCGGAACAAAACTTTCTTATGAGCTAATATTCATTTAAAAGATAAAGAAGAAGGATTGTCAAAAAAAAAAAATTTATATCAAAAAAAACTTATTTATATAAATTATAAAACATTGTTATAACATTATATAAAACAAAGAATAACACTTTTTATTTTCTGCAATGAAGAATAAATCGGTAAATCCCATCAGCTCGGGCCCTGGAAAATTAGAAATTGATGTAATTACGTTTATTTAAAATAAAACTCAATGAGCAACTCTCTACCAATTATGATTACAAATTGATAAATAGATAATACTGTTATTAGGCAAATTGTCAAATATAGTAATTTAATCTATGATTGACTATATATGTCATGCTTATTTGCCAAATTACTATAATTCAACAATTTTTGCCCAATCATATATACTTATCATGCATTTAATTACATTCTGTATTAGACAGTTTTATATATATGATTGAAAGCCTAATGACAAGTTTTTTTTTAATTATGTTCAATAATAACAATTAAACTTTTTATTTTTACGAAGTAATTTTAATAACTATATAAATACTTATCTTTGTTTAATTTATATCTATTTATTTTCGATGGAATCCTTAAAAAAATTTATAAGCAAAATTTATTTTTATAACAATCCTGAATTAATTCCTACAGAATATCAGAATAGTGATATCTGTATTCTTTGTGAAAATGAAATATCTTCAAGCCTTTTACAACCGGTTGTAATTTTAGAATGTAAACATTTTTTTCATTATTCATGTATTACAAATAATACTTGTCCTTGTAAAAATAAAAATAGTAAAAAAAACAAACAATTAGTAACTAAAAAAATTAGTAAAAAAATGGTGAAAGATTTAACAAAATCTAGTTTTAAGGCAGATACACCCTCATCATTTCTGAAAATTACTAAAAAAAACAAAGATTCTCCTAAAATATTATATAAAAAATTACAAAAATTTCAAGAAGAATCACAAAATAAATCAGATGAGTCTGAGTTAGAAGAAGAAGAAGAGTTAAAAAAGAAATCAGAAAAAGAAGAGTTAGAAGAAGAATCAGAAGAATCAGAAGAAGAATCAGAAGAAGAATCAGAATCAGAAGAAGAATCAGAAGAAGAATCAGAAGAAGAATCAGAAGAATCAGAAAAAGAATCAGAAAAAGAATCAGAGAAAGAGTTTCAAGAAGAGCTAAATAAATCTGAAAATGAATCTGAAATAGAATCACAAGAAGAGTTGCAAGAAGATTTAGAAGAACTACAAGATGAATTAGATGAATTACAAAATCAATTAGAAGAATCACAAGAAGAACTAGAAGAACCATCAAGAAAATTGCAAAAAATACATAAAAAATCATCTAAAGAATCAAAAATTTCAAAAATATTACAGGTATAAAAAAAACAATTTTTAAGTATTAATAATTTTATTAATTATAATAGCAATATGCAAAATTTATAGAATTTACAGAATTCGTTTATTACACTAATTTGAAAATAGCAACAAAATATATATAATATTATAACCTAATTTTTAATATTTATTTTAGAACAAAAAGCTTCCTCTAACATCTTTTCGAATTTCTCGTAAAGCAAAAGCACTTGCTGTAGCAAAAAATCAAAATTTATTTGAAGAAATTCTATTAGAGTTAACCACAACCGCAACCGCATCTGATGAAACAATTAGAACTATTCAAAGTACTAATAAAGGTAATAAGACTTCAGAATCAGTAGCAGAAACCTTAGCTCGATTATATCAAGATGCTTGGGTTCAGGGAATTGAAGAAGAAAAAATTATTCAAAAGACAATTTGTAGTTGGTATGATTATGCTGAGCAATTTGAAAATTATGTAAGTGAATTGGTTAATAATGGAACAAAAGATAAAACAGCACGAAACAAAATATATAATGAAATTGAGCCTTATATTTCTTTAAACTGTATGCGAAATAATTTGCGTCAAAAAACTCATAAGGCTCGCAAAATATATAGATTATTTAAAGGAATAGGTATTGACAAAATTAGACGGGTTAAAAAATATAGTGCTGATCAAATATCAAGTCTTAATATGAATAGAATTCAATCGCTTATTAATTATGTAAATAACTATACATAATTTACTTTTCTATTTTTTTATTTTCTTACTTTTTATTTTCTTGTTTTTTTTTTATATTTTTTTATTTTCTTATTTTTTATTTTCTTGTTTTTTTTTATTTTTTTATTTTTATTTTTTTATTAAATAAATTATATTTAATCATTAAGATTATTAGCAATAAATCTATTAAATAAATTAAATATCTTTATAATTGTTAAAATTCTTACTAAATTATAATCGTTAAGATTCTTAATGAGCAACATCTGAATTATGATCGTTAAGAATCTTAATGATCATATTTCAGAAATTGCAGAATTATGATCGTTAAGAATCTTAACGATCATATTTCAGAAATTGCAGAATTATGATAGTTAAGATTCTTAACGATCATATTTCAGAAATTGGAAAATTATGATCATTAAGAATCTTAATGATCATAATTCTATAATTGCAGAATTATGATCATTAAGATTCTTAACGATCATAATTCTGCAATTATAGAATTATGATCGTTAAGATTCTTAACGATCATAATTCTGCAATTTCTAAAATATGATTGCAAGATTCTTAACGATCATAATTCT